ATGGAGTCTTATGTATGCAAGTCAATGCACAAGACCAGACATAGCATTTGCAATTAGTAAACCTAGTAGATTTACTAGTGACCCTAGCAACGAACATTGGAAGACCATTGTGAGAGTTCTTGGTTATTTAAATAAAACTAAAAACTAAGGTCTTAAATATTCTAAATTCCCGGCTATATTAGAGTGATTTATCGATATTGATTGGATATCCAGCACCAGTTGGAGTGAATCTGGTTGGGTGTTTACTCTTGGAGGAGATGCAGTTTCTTGAAAATCTAAGATAAGAAAAAAATATGCATAGCACATTCAACTGTGAAATTTGAATTTGTAGCGTTATTAGATACCGAGAAAGAAGCTAAGTAGCTTAAGGATCTACTATATGAGATACCTTGGGACCAAATAATATGGCTTCAATATCTATGATGTGTGATAGTCAAGTCACATTAGAAAGGCATAGATTGAGATATACAATGGGAAGTCCAAACATGTGAGTCTAAAATATGACTACGTAAGGAAATTAATTAAGAGTGGAATAATTTCTCTAAATTACATTAAGTCAATTGAGAACCTAATGGATCATTTAACTAAACCTTTTAATAGAATTTAGTTATATCTACTTCGAATATATTGGGGTTGAAACTCTTAAACTAAAAAAGATCCATCAATGACGGCAACCCTACATCTCATTATTAAATAGTAATATACGGGTTCAAAGGGTAACAACAAGTCATTAGATAAATGGATAGTTTAAGGATTATAATTTTCACAAGAACCCTATCCTAATTATATAGTGCTAGTTGTTTCTTAAAGGAGCGTTGAGCTTTAAAACTCTTAATGAAGTTCAGTACAAAGTACAAGTATTGCTAAAAGTAATAAAAATACTGAAAGAACTTCACCTAGACAAACTTCGAAGTGGTACCACATCAATAGAGAGTTGGAGTTTCTCTCTTGAAAAGTTCAACAAGTAGGATGAACACAATGTCATGTTAACGCTAAGGGAGTTTGATGAACTTGTAAACAGATGACATTTGTGTGGGTGATTTCATCGCTATTATCAGAAGGAATAATTTGTTCAAAACTATTATGCTACCTTTAATTTCAACGATGCTTTGGGAGAATTATGTTATGGTTAGTTTTAAATCGAAATATATCTAATCTGTATGCATNAGAGCTATGATCTTGGAGTCATAGGTGTCCCGAATATTATGACAATCCACTTCAATATGTTTGGTACGTTCATGGTACACAAGATTGGCCGCAATCTGAAAGTCACTTGTATTGTCACCATGAATAGGCGTAGGCTGGGATTGAGAGAAACCAAGTTCTGTAAGGAGAACACGCAACCACATAACCTCAGAACATGCAGTGGACATAGCTCGATATTCAGCCTCAGTGGAGGACTTAGAAACACAGTCATTTTTCTTACATTTCCAAGAAATGAGAAAGTCCCCAAAAAGACACACCACCCAGTAGTAGATCGACGAGAATCTGGACAACTCGCCCAGTTAGCATCACTATAGGCCGTGAACTCAAGAGATGACACTCGAAGGAAGAAAAGTCCACGATGAGTCCCAATACGATAGCGAATAATGCGACGAACAGTTACCAAATGAAGATGATGAGGGGCGTTCATAAACTTGCTGACAGTACGAACGATAAAGGAAATATCCGAACGTGTGATGGTGAGATATATGAGACTACCCACCAACTTTCGATGAAGAATGTTGCCTTCATCCTTACGATATTTAACATTAAGCTCCAAAAGTGTATCAACCGAAGAGGTTGTAGACAGATCACACAACCGAATCAAGTTTTGAATATACTTAAGTTGATTCAAGAAGATACCACGCGGCATAGTATGAACCTCTAAGCTAAGAAAGTAAGTAAGTTGACTAAGATCTTTCATATGAAAAACAAAGAGAAGATGCTACTGAAGCTTCTGAATACGATTGTGGTCAGAGCCAGAAATAATAATGTCATCCACATATACCAACCAAAAAACAATACTAGCAATACTCTTGTGAAAGAATAGAAATGCGTTATACTGACTCGGAGTAAAGGAAAAATCCAAAAGAGTGTGACGAAACTTATCAAACCAAGCCCGAGGTGCCTGCTTAAGACAATATAAAGAGCGTTTTAGCTTACATACAGAATCATCGGAGGGAAGTAGCATACTAGAAGGAAGCTTCATGTAAATGTCTTCCTTGAGATCTCCACGTAAAAACTCATTCTTTACATCCATTTGATGAAGAGACCAAGACTGAGAAGCAGTAAGAGATAACAAGAGATGAACGGTGGTCATTTTAGCCACATGAGCAAATGTCTTATCATAGTCGATTCCATACTCTTGACGGTTACCCAAGGTAACTAACCGAGCCTTATAGCACTCAAGAGAACCATTAAAATGAAGCTTGATCGAATATACCCATTTACTCCCAATGGGTTTCACAGTTGGTGGACATGGAACAATATCCCAAGTGTGATTGGCTTTAAGAGCGTCAAGTTCTGTATTCATTACTTGTTGCCAACACTTTTATTCCATGGCCCGTCTATAAGATGTAGCAATCAAAATCGAGTCAAGAGTAGTAGACATAGAGCTATAAGAAGAGAAACCATACCTATCTGGAGGTTGAGGAACACGAGAGGTACGGCGAAGAGTGATAGGTGGGGGGAGATCATCTGGTGAAGAATCTGATGTCGGAGGTAGAAGATCGGGAGATGTAAGGAAATAGATGTCTAAGAAGGAAGCTCGGGAGCTGTGACTGGTGCGGCATGCCAGTAGGAGTAAACGAGACCAAGCTTGTAAAGGAAAATTGTTTTTCAAAAAAGACAACATTACGAGAAATCATAATCCGATGTGCTTTAGCGTCAAAATAGACATACCCTTTCTGAGTCCCACCATATCCCAGAAATGCACACTTAACAGATTGAGGTGTAAGTTTTGTCCTTTCATGCGGTGGTAAATGAACAAAACAAATACAGCAAAAGGGATAAAGATAAGAGTATGTGGGATGTTAACCAAAGAGCTTATAAAATGGAGAAACATTATCAATAGTGGGAGAAGGTAATCGATTTATGAGATGAACAGCGGTAGACAATGCTTCACACCAAAAAGGAGGAGAAACAGAAGATTCAATCAGAAGAGCTCTAACCATGTCACGAAGATGGCGATTCTTGCATTATGCCACTCAGTTCTATTGAGGAGCAGAAGGACAAGAGTGTTGGGAAATAATCCTTTCGTCTCAAAGTAAGATTGAAACACATTGGACATATATTCACCTCCTGAATCAGACCGTAAGATCTTGATATAAGAGGATAATTGGTTGTCAATAAAAGACTGAAAAGCAGAAAAAACCTCACTCTTTGCACGAAGAAAGTAAACCCATGTGAAGTGACTATAGTCATCAAAAAGCATTTATAATGTGCATGAGAGACGACGGGTGCTAGACTACATACATCGCTATTAACAATATCAAAAATATGCAAAGCATGAGAACCAAAGAAAGGAAACGGTAAAACCGTGCTCTTTGCAAGTTTACATGATGCACAATCAAGTGAGAAAGATGAAACCGAAGCAGAATTCTTATTACCAAGTAAACCGGAATTTACAAATGATGTAATACATTAGAGTTTGGATGCCCTAATAACTTATGCCAATGAAAAATATCGAAAGTAGCAAAATTACAAACAAATATAAAATATTACAAGATATTTTAGGATACTCTATAGATGGAAACTAGAATATTATTTACATGGTAATTACCTAATTAGCTAAATATAAATAATATTCTAATACACCAATGATGGCAACCTACCTGTCATTACTCAAAAGGTAATCCAGGGTTCAAAAGGTAACAACAAGTCATTCGATATTTAGATAGTATCAGCATTATTGATATCCGCGATAACCCTATCCTAGTTATAATAATGCTGGTTGTTACTAAAGTGAGGGATGAGTTTTGAACTTTTAATGAAGTTCAGTACTAAGTACGAGTATCTCTAAAAGTAATAAAGATACTAGAAGAACTTCACCTAAATAAACTTCGAGATAGTGCCGCCTCAATAAAGAGTTAGAGTTTCTCTCTTAAAAGTTTGTTGAAAAGGATGAGTGCAAGGCCATAATATCGCTAAGTGAGTTTGAGAAACTTGAGAACATGTTATACTTGTGGTTCTTACCGGTATTGTCATATGAAATCATTGGTTCAAAGCTTTCATGCTACATTTAATTCCAACTTTATTTTGTTTGAATTACACTATGATTAAATTCAAATCGAAAGATATCTAATCCTTATGCATGAGTATCGTATATTTTGAATATGTGACTTTATTGGATTTTGAACAAGTGGGGGAATTGTTGAGAAATTGTGTTCAAAACCAATAAAGTATGTGTGTAATGAAAAGAGGAGAAAATCGGTCAATTTGTGGCCTATGCGACTGCATAGACCATTTGGCATGGCCATCAACAAGGATTCAAGCACCTGTTTCGAGCTCCTCTATACGACTTGATAGAGGTACTCTATGCGGTCACATAGAGTAATTTTTGGACCATTGGAGACCCTTTTTGACCGTTTATTTTTTTTGAATTTGGTAGTTTTTCACTTAAACTTTGGCACGATTTCGAGCTTCTGGTCAAGGCTTATATAGAGGGGATCCATGTTCAAGGCAAAGAAGTATGAAAAACACTTGAGATAATTTTCATTTGTGTTCTTCAAGTTTGGGTATTACACTAAATGCTTGAGTGTTTAATCCTTACAAAGCTTGGTTAATCCTTCAAACTATTTTCTGAAAAAACTTCAGCATCATTTTCAATTCGTGAGAGGGTAAATATAGTTTGAGGACAGCGATCACGCATTCGAGCCTTCAAGTTTGATCGTGGTTTGTTAGTGTTTTGTTTATCTTGTTGCTGATTTTTTAGTTCGTTTCTTCTCCAACTCAAATGCATCTACAACATGGTGTGCAATTCTTCCCTTTGAGACTGTAGTGGGTGATTAGGTAGAGAAATGTGGTTGTGGTGGAGGCACGGCGAGGTGGTGTTCGTGATTTTGTGTTGTGGGTGCTGCCAATTGGAGTGGACGGCTGGTAGGGGTGGTTTCCATGACAGGAGTAACCGACGATGTATTGTAGCAGCCAGAGGTGAGTATTGGGACGAAGGAATGACGGTTAGGGTTATGGATAGTGGAGGCAACGATGATGGTGGGTGTGGATTAAGATGTTGACGGGGATGAAGTGGGTGGTTGATTGGGTTGTTTTGGGTTTTTGATATTGTTCTTAGGCTGGGGCTTTTGTTTAGGTTAATTGATGGGGTGATTTTCCCGCTGGCTTAGCTGGTTATGTGGTGGGGAAAAATTCACAATTCAAGCTTTATCTATCCCAAAATCAAAAATCAAGCCACAAAGTTTAGAATTGTAAAAATCAGTTTTTTTCATGAATTAATTAATTATATTTCACAATTATTATATTAAATTAAATATTTAACTGTAATATAATATAATTAACCCATCCCACCTCCACCTCTACCTCTTCTATTGCTCTGGCGACCACTCCGACGACTGTTCTTCGGTCACAGATCAAAAATTATGTAGGTCACAGATTATTTCGAAGTCACAAATCTAAAATTTTATAGGTCAGAGATTATTTTATTAGTCACAGATCAAAAAAATTATATGTCACACGTCACATATTCTCAAATTCATTGGTCACATATTCTTTTTTTATTTACAAGTTATCAATTTTATAGCCACAGTTCAATAGCTAGGTCACGACCACCACCACCGCCCAAAACATACCACCATGGATCCACCACCTCCACAACCACACATCCCAGATCTACGACATTTTCCAAAACCAGACCCCATCTTCGCGACGGCTGCCACCAGATCCACCACCCATCACAAACAGTAGGTCACATACATCTGCACCATCAACACCACCTCCACCCCGTCGCAGACCACCGAATACAAACATCAACCCTCGACAGCATCATCCCCTAATTAGCTGGCACCTTTCAATAAACCACGCTGTTGGCAGTCATTTTACCCACCCAATTTCCTCGTCCACCCACCCAAAATGCTGGCAGCAGCAGGGAGGGAAGGAGGAGAAGAGACGGAAGAGAGAGAGAAGGGTTTGGGAATTGTGTGAAATTTGGTGGGGGTGGGGGTAGGTGTGGGTATATAGATTAATTTAATTTAAAATATCATTATTAATATTAATTGTGAAATTAAAACCTAATTTTTGATTAAAAAACGTTTAAACCTGATTTTTAGAAAGTTCAAACTAAACAACTGGTTTTAGGTAATTTCCTCTATGTGGTGCGTAAGGGTATTGGGCTAGGGTTTTTGTATTGGCTTGTTGGGGCTTGTGCAAAGTATGGGTTTGGGCTGGAGTAATTGATCAGGGTTTTGGAATGGCAATATTTTCTATCAGTAGCGTACAAAACAAGTTGGATCTTTTTTTTTCCCCAATGAAACAAAAACAGCAACTAAACCAACAGATAAAGCACTGCTGCCCCATTTCTCTTTTTTTTTTTCAACTAATGTGAACTACTAAACAAACGAAAAACTACTGCTGTAATACAATTTCTTTTGTCCTTTGCTGTTCTAAGGGTTGATGATTGTGTATGAAGGTGGTTGGATGGGAGATGGAAGGTGGAAGGTATGTAAGGATTTGATGGAAGTGATCGATGAATTTGGATTTGATAAAAGGTGCAGGTCAAAGGAGAATGAGTTACTCTGGTACCAAATTGATGTAGAAGCATACAAGTTATAAAGAACAATAAGAAGAAAGGGGATCAAAGGGGAGAATCGAGGGCAAGAGAAAGAGTTTTATTCATATAATTCAGATTTGTTTGTAAACATTGCCCTTCTATCTAAGCGAACTTGAAAATAAAAGATAATATTGTCAAAATTAAATTACTATAATCTAGATAAGCTCAAATTCTACTAATTATTAGTCTTTCGCCTTGAATAGACTTTGAGTTGTTTCCTTGTTGCATCGCATTGCCTTGCCGTTGTTTACTCAGGACAAGAAATGCTATCCAATATGTTCAAAACATGCAATGTTTAGAGTGCAGCATCAGTTGATGATTTTTAAATAATTATAGTAATATGGAACTTGAAGAAAATGTTGAAGAAGTGTTTATAGCACATAAAAAATGTTTATCCATTAACTAAAAGCTTCTGTAAGATATGCTGCTAGGTGCATTATGATGGAGGGTGGCGCTATCATTATGAATTGATAATTTGTCTTCGACTGTTCTCAGAAGAATTTTAATGTTTGTGCTTATAGAAGCCACTGACATTGCAGTTTTTCCTCTCAGCAAATGGATCTGTCATGGGCTGGCAACCAATATCTGTTAGAAATATCCCTCCTTCTACCGTAAAAATGGTAAGATCCATAACTTTCAATATTTGGTTCACTCATTTTAGGAAAAGCTAGGTGTTTGCTTTCTGTCTCCACAACTTAGCAATTGTGGTGGAAATTGACCCATCTTAAATTTGTTCAGGAGCACAGCACCATGACCTCCATAGATGGACCTCCATTTCTACACATTTCTTCTGTTTCCCGCACTGCTGCTCAAGCTGTTCCAAGCTTACCATCTTCTTCACCTATATCGACATCTCAAGAAATGATTGCACAATCAAACTACATCAAAGTCTGGGAGGTAATTACTATAATTGCACAAAAAATAAATGCAGTTGGACTACTGCATGAAGTTGTTTAAGGAGGCTGTACATAAAAGTTTGATTTAATGGTTTGTCGAGATAATTTTAAACACACAAAGATTTTCACTACTAACTAATATGATTATCCCGATAGCCAATTGTGGTTTCATACTCAACATCAGTCTGTTTTGCACTGACACTTCATAGGGTGGCGTGTTTGCGTTCGACAGCCTTACACTTTTGCGTTCATAAATTTGAAATGAACCCCGGATGAAGACAAATCTCCCCTCCCTTTTCCTAAACCATTAAACCATGGGGAGCCTCGAGTAGTCTACCGAACAATGTGAGTTGTCGTGATGATTCCTTTATTAGTGGAAGATTGGAAAAAACTTCTCTTCATCACGAGATTGATCGGATTTGCCGTAGACACCCGAGAGACCTCCACAAGGTAGGCTAAAAGATTAAGAGGATAAGAAGCAAAGAGTTATGCTTTCATTTCTTTGTTGAGATTGAAATCAAGTTCTTTAAAAAGAGGGTAGGTATAAGGCACTCATACACCCTGCTGGAGATCCTTTACTAAAATCTTGGAAAGCCAGCTCTTCTTCGTTTTGCTTTTGTGTCCAATGCTCTTTAGGAGTGAGTTGTGATCTGCTCTTTCTCTCTCTATTACTAGGTTGGCTCATCGGATTTTAGTAGACGACAATTCTATTAGTCAACACAGGAATCGATCAATCACAAGTGTTCAAACCCTATCGGACACTTTACCATAGTCATTTTTCTTTCTTCATTAAAAATATACAATATTTTTAACTCAAATTTTTTATGAAATATCAAATAGATACTCATATTTAAAATATTTCAATAAAAAAATAATAACCGGTATAAAACTAAATTTAGATTATGTAAATGAAATTTTTTAAATAATTTAATCAATGTATCAGGTACGTGTCGTGTCCGCACTTTTTAGAAAAATTACGGGTCGATATGTCCGACACGACACATATCCATTTCGGTACATCATAGATGTCCATACTCTTGGGTTAATATACTTTTGGCATTGCAGCCCCTATTGTATTTCGGAGACATCTAGGTGGTGTCGTTCTTTCCTTTTGGCCAAAATACCGAGGGAAAGTATTAAAGTGGATGACTGATGATGTTATCATCAGGGTATGAAAAGGTTTTCAAACGAGTGTTTTCGGTTAGATTTTATGGGCTCGACTCAGTCTATAATGATTAAAATTGGATGAGACCTAGAGAAAGGTGTTGGGAGGAGATCACACTGATTAGCTCAAACACAACAAAATATATGTGCTAAAGTTAACAATACTAAACTGAAAATAACAACTCAAAGGAACTGAAATAAGAACTTCAAGAAACCGAGATCTGAACACTATAAAAAACTGAAAATATAAAGCACAATAGACTGTAAAAGGCACTTAACTTCTATTCAAGCCCACAGGCTGAAGTTTATACAGATGGATGCTTCAATCTCACAAGAATAACCACTGTTATGCTCGAATCAAAAAACCCAAAAGTAAGAATACAAAGATAGCACTCAGTCTAGACCGTTTATTACACAAAATAGGAGAATCCTCTTTTACAACACATGGTTCACACAAGAACCCACACTCAACCAAATGAAATCACTAAAGATTACAACCATGAGTGGAGGAAATAGAAATCAAATGAGAAGATTTGATTTCAGTAGAAGAAGAGAGAACTCAGAAACGGCGCAGCAAAACAAAGAGAAGATGGAAGTCTCTCGAAGCCAATCAAAATGATCTTAAACCCTAGAATGAGCTTTTAAATGGGTCACTCAACAGT